AAATTCAAATAAATTACACTAAGACCTCCTTCCTAATCTAGGCCCTTCAAAGAACATAAAGAGATTTGCACAAAAATATCATATAAAGGGTTTTAAAAGTAAGAAACTATTTGTTATTTTTTTAGTCATATTTTATGAAAGTAATTAATATTTAATATGATGTAATTGATAAATAATAATGAATAGGTCATGTATTGCTTAGCAAAAAAGTGCTCAATGCTTTAAAGCAAAGCTATTATGGTCAAAGAGGATAATGTTTGTTGTTACTCTGAGTTTCATGCCTCAACAGAGGTGCTCATTGGACAGGTTTTATTACAAGGAAAAATATACCATCCATTGTTATATCTACAACCTTTTTACAATAAAAACAAAATTATTTGGTGATGTGTGATCAATTAGTGATCTATAGTCGTATTAATTGTGCTCATGCGAGATCTACTTTAATTTGAGGTTCATTAAGTAATACTTGTTTTCACGGCAACATTTAGATATCAGTTCAGATCTCTTGTTTATATATTAAGTGATGTCTTGTAGGCTATGATTGTGTGATATGACCACGCCTGTCTGATGATCACCTTAAGGTGTGAAACTCAGAGTAACAGCCAACTCTATCCTCTTTGAGTTTTTCTGTAATGTAATTAATATAATTAAATCACCATCCTCTATTTATAAACCAAACCTGAGAAATGGTATGCAATTAATATAATTATTACAAATGTTTATAATAAATATAATATTTATTTTATGCTAAATAATAATTAATATATTACTTGCATACCATTTCTCAGGTTTGGTTTATAAATAGAAGATGGTGATTTGATAACCAATCCCTCTTCTCTTCTGTCAATAGCGTCATTAAGAGCTTTTACTACATCATCCCTAAGGATAAAGAAAGTGTCAATGTAGAACATACATAAGAGCAGTCACTAGTCACTAAGGATGAATAATTTCATCATTCATAATTAGGCTTGACTGTGGGACGGGAGGCACCATTCCCTAATGGTTAGTGCACTGGTCTCTAGTCAGGGGTCATTGTTCTGTGTTCTTGGGCAGGACACTAAACTCACAAAGGGCCTCACTTCACCCAGGTGTATAAACGGGCACCAATAAATTGTTGGGGCAACCTAGTGACCAAATGCTACATGTATAGGCAACCTTCTCAAAATGTTTTCCTGGAGCAGGTTATATGAAAGTTGGAGGCAGTTTGGGTTCCAAAGGCATGCTTTCAAGTTTCCCTTGGGGGTGGGCCTGTAGCAGGGTTTCAGGGTATCCTTCCCTGGAAATAATTTTGAAATTTCGATGCTCAAGGATGCCATGTCATGATTTTCATCATAATCACAATATGATAAGTTAATAAAGATGGTAAATTGTAAGTTCGGTAATGAAATGTGAAGGTGAATTAATCAACATGACACGAGCGTGAGACAAAGAAAAAATTCTGAGTCCCCGACAACGGGCGCTCTATCCACTGAGCTACGAGAACTCATGGAGAGCAAGGTCATTTTACTGAGTTCATATATGACAGGTGTCCTGCATACTGCTAGGAT